GAAGTGTTTTCTCAGATTAATGTGAGTTGATTTTGCTTTTTTGCTCGCTGGTTCACTCTTTCACAACTGCGAACCACGTGTAGACGTATGTTGAACACAATGCCTCATCTGGAGGGAAAAACACTTCATTGCCTCTGACTCAAAGGCCTGATAGGGAACCGTCGGTCTTCTTGACACATTTTGACGCTTTTGTAGTTTAACATATGTTTTGTCATCAAGAGAATACAAGTAACCTGGAACTACACATTGGTTTAGTTATGTTTTAACAGCAAACTTGATAAATCACACTACTGTCATAACAATGGTTAGCAGATGCATTCATTGACACGAAGATAAACAACACAAAACTGCCTGTTTATAATGACCGTGAATGCAGATGTACCTAAACGCGTCCATTTTATTTCCAGCTCATTAACTGAAACATTATCCATTATAAATGTGTTTTTGTACGAACTGAACTAACTACTGTTTTCCTTATTAAGTTATTGATGTCGACTGCAGTATTTACTGCGATTCAGCTGACTTATCGCCCGGCAGTAATCAATGAGTGATCACTTTATCAGTAGCAGGAATGTGAAATGGACAACTATTGGTTTTGGTGCTTCCTACTCACACTCGCAAGCACACCGGGGTAGTTCCTTGGAAGTATTGTGTACAGCGGATTTCTCCTTGTTACAGTTGGTCATTGCCAAGTGCCTTTTCGTATATAGATAGATGTTTAGGGCTGTAGGTCCAGTAAGTTGCCTAGGCTATCCCCAGAAATCGAAGTCTTATGTCAACCGTACATGGTATGATACCGATTAGCCTATTTATGGATACGCCTGAGATTCAGGTCGTATATTTACCGGCACAAATAAATTGGTACTTGCGTTGGTAACACATCAAGTTTTTCTCTTACTTGACTGTGAAGTAAAGATATAAAAGTGATTTTAGCCTTCAGGCACACAATGGTGCGTACATTCAATACAGTTTGAGTGAGTTTGCCCGGTTTAGACTGAATACATGACTAATCACTTTAAGTCTTTTTAAGTAAGTTCAAGCAAGCTGTACACATATGAGAAATAGTCAAACCGTCTTCTCTAGGTAAATCCAAATTAAAAGTCATGCCCAAAATTGTTTTACTTTCAATGTCCAAGTATCTGGTTCATGTCCACCTAAATCTACTTACAGTTTCACGAATTCCTGGACGTGCATAGACTTGAACGAGGCGAAGCTTTAACGCTAAGCCGATGTGTAGAATTCTTCAACCAGGTTACCCGGTGGGCACGCAGTTTGCTGTTCGTGCTAGCACCAAAACTGGGGGATTTGATGGAACCATCATCACCTTTTGCTGACAGGACGGATTCCACCGATAAAGCCAATGCCAATGCCCTGACCAATACGGTCACACACGAAAATCTGCCGATAAAATCTTCCACGGACCGTCCCAGTTCCAGTCATTCCGATTTCGCCTTACCCAACCGAGAAAAACACAACTACTCGTGCCTGCCCACCCCGGGCACACACCAGTCGGAGCAGAAAGCTGCCCGTGCAAGGCAGCTGACTTGTATCAATCTGGTTTTTTGTCACATATGCGAAGTGTTGAAAGTAAGTTCCGTTTATGCGGACTTAATAAGTGTTATTAAATTATGTTAATTATGAACACGAAGAGCAAGACTTGTTTTGAGCATTTTCCCTTTTCTTGATAGCATCTTCTGAATTTTAATTTGAATAGAGGAACCACTGCTGTTTAACATCAAATACTATATGTCCGAGCCAAGTAAAGTAAAGTAAAGTAAATCTTCATGCACCCGACAGGATGAATTTTCAGCATTTTTAACAGGTCACATTGGGGAAAACGGTAAGCATTGAAGAAGAAGAAATATACATTTACTAAATGTAAAACAAACGGATTAGATAAAATCTTTATGTGACAGGTGATTGTTCAAGTCAGTAATAAAATTTTCTCGGTTGACCAAGATACGAGCAAAACAAGGGATCATACTGTTTTTGTGTGTGCTGGCGCGTGCACAAATAATCCGAAGGTGGGAACGGGTACTCGGATGAGACACCGATTTATTGAGATGGGAGTGCAGGCAGTGTTCTTCATTGGACAGGATATGGCTGATAAATCGATCGTCTGAATCAAAATGTTTGCCCACAATAAAGTCAAACAAAACGATCTTTGAAACGCCACTGAAACGGGAAAAAAGTTTAAGAGATCTGGAAAAGAGAATAAAGTCTTTCTCCTTCAGACCAGGAAAATATACGGGGAACAGTACAATCGATGTGGAAGAATGCATGCAGTCACAAATTTAGGAATTACGTTTAGGGGAGCGCTGAGCCTTTAAAGTTTAAAAGCGCAGAAGGGTAGTCTACGAACCCGAATATAAACGTTTTCCACATGTTTGGACCAAGAAAGATTGTGTAACAAAGTAACTCCAAGATATTTCACAGTTAGCTTTGGGGATGGTATTACCAGTAACAGACAGTTCAGGCTGATTGCTCAAAAGGATTTGATAAAGCCGGCCCTTTTTATGGCTAAAAGAAACATTTAAACATTTATCTACATTTGGCAATAAACATCAAGACTTCGACCAACTAAAAATGTTATTTAGACAAACTTGAAGTTGGCAGAAACAATCAGGAACACTCCAGGGACAGCCGACCACCACGTCATCACCTTACTTGCAGGCGATAAAGTTGGGAGTTATGGGAAGGGTCTTTATTTACAGTGAAACAACAAATGGAGACAAAATTGGACCCTGAAAAACTCCAGAGTTAACTTCTAGCAGGGAGGAAGATTTACCGTTACAGAAGGTGTATCGCGTCCGATGAGTGAAGTAATTAATTAGTACACTCACTAAATTAGGTGCCAGACCACAATCCGAAAGAAGTTGAATGAGAATGCCGCGGTCAAGTGATCCGAAAGCATTAGCATAATCAAGAATATTTAAACGGACGATGCCAGCTCCGTTATCCAATAAGAATGAAGCGGAGTGAACAACGTGAGCAACAGCATCAAAAGTGGAAAGCGAATGTTTGTACACAAATTGAATAGGGTTATGGGTGACAGATAAAAGGGTAAGGCGGTTAAGAAGCACGTTTTCGAAAACTTTCAATAATGTTGTTGTGCAGGCAATCGGCCGATATTTGGAAGATTCTTTTTGGGGAATTGGAGTTATCCGAGAATCCCTCCAACAATCAAGGATGCTTCCAGATGACATACACAAATTGAACATCTTGGAAATAGGTGAAGCAAGTTGTTCAGCACACTCTTTTAGTAGGAAGGCGGATGACGAATCAGGGCCATGTGTCTTGTCAGATTTGAGGGTTTTCGGTACATTCAGGACTTCCGCAGGGGGGACAGATTGGTTCTCTCCAGCAGATGTAAATAAAGATGATGCTGAGTTACTTATAGTAGCATTTGCGAATTGACGATTTAGCTCCTCGACATCCGGAAAAGATCTGTTGCGTGATCCACAGAGCTGCTTCAAAGAAGACCGCATATCGCGGCAGCTCCGGATTCCCATAAGAGTTTCGATATATATCCGATTTAGGTGCTGTATTTCCATTTTGATCAATAATGACAGATGTTTGGCAGCACTGCGCCTTTCAGTCCTGTAAGCCTATCACGACGAAGCCGTTTTAGAAAAGGCGAAGAGAATCTGTCAGTTTGAATATATAAGGTCTCAACTGGGTTACACAGATTGTAGCAAAAATTAAGATAACATCTAGGATGTTCACAACTGGAAGAGTTATCAACGTTGGCAAAGACATTAACGTCGGTAGATGAAACAATATCTTTAAGTTTGGAAAACTTTTAAGGAGTGCGACCTCTCCTTCTGATGGTTCTGGATGTGGAACGGTCCATATGGTGCTGAAAATATTTACCGTAAATCTTGGGGTGCAAAAAAATTGAGCAATGATCGGAGCTAACTATGGGAGCCCGCTTCTCGATGAAAACGATTTCGGAGCCATTTACAAGAATCCCGTCAAGTTGAATATCGAGCCGGGTAGGAAAATTTACAAGATTCGTCAAGCCTAAAGTTGTAGGGAAAGATATAGTAAATGATTGAAATCACCAGCAGCAATGCATAAAGACTGGTCTAAACCGGTTATAAGTTGTGAAGAGACGGAGTCGACAAACAGCTGTGTCGGGAGCGATGTAAATGTTCGCTAATGTAATATTATGAAAGTGACTGATAAATCGGGGCTTACAATAAACATAAATACAATTTATCTTGGCAGTATTAAATTGAAAACAATTACGAGCGTTTTTGCACCATTTCCTGTTGACGAAAGTGACTACTCCACCAACTCTGTGAAGGAGATTCACATTACGGTCTCATCGGAATGACCACGCGTTACCCCACTGTAACTTAAAGAAATAATATTCCGCGTTAACAAGGCACGGCCAAATTTAAAGACCCCGCGCACTTATTTGTCGCACTTTTACGAATACTTGAAGCAAGAAATCAAACTGTGCTAACAGAAACCGGTTTTGTTACACACGATTCACCTGAAAAACATTCATTCCACATTGAAGTGAAGCAATTTTTCAACAAATTGGTTAGTCAAGGTTACTTTCCACCGCGTTCAATGTTACTATAGGCGTGACGTAGCACATTTTAGTCTTATTTGTAATTTGTCCTGTGATTTTCTAGCTACTTCTGTATGCTCAAATTCAGAAAATCTAACATGCATCATAAATCAGCGTTAGTAGGGTCAGTCAATGCAAAATAAAAGCCAAAATCGAAGAAAAATTGTGATGATTCTTTAACGAGGGTTTGGTGTTAGATGCAAATAACCTTGAGAAAATTGATATATTGGCATACCGGAGACACATGCTTGGCCGAATAACAGGTTTTGCGTTTCAGCTTGGTACACAATCACCGAAGTAGACCCTTAGGGCCAAATTTTGGTTTCGAATTTAGCAAATTCTCAATTGGATTTGTTAATGGATGAACAGTAAAACCAGAATCGATGAAGTTAAACTGGAAATTCGTCGTGGAAACCCGAACGATAGGTAGAATAGCTGATACGTTGGCTGCTTGCCTGTTTCCACTGATGTGACGAATAGCAAAATAATCAGTGCGCATCAGTTTTAACCCCGACTATCCTACACTAATTTGCCTTCTAGGTAACAAGCGGTCAATAAATATACCGTGCGTTCCGCACACTCTGAAGCACGTTTATATCTGATGAAAGGTTTTACCTTGGAATTTTTTTCCCTCGGCTTCAAATTGACCGTTTTCTGGTTTGGAGGATTTACAATTTAATTCCTCGTTGCCGATCTTCCGTGAATATAACGGAAAACGACTAATTCAGTGGGAATTCAATAGTCAAATGAATATCATAGAAGGCACACCAACAGTTTAGAGAATTACATGTGTGGGCTGATTCAAACCCAGTCTAGGGAAAAAACTCTCACCTGAGTGTGAACCGAAACTTGCATACTGCAGGGAAACCCAACACTTCGTGTTTAACCCATACTAACTCGATATCGAATTGGAATTGACGAAATCTCATATTTCAGAGCGTCTCCGTCCGCGGAATATTGTCCAACGTCGAATATCTGCAATGCGGTTCAGGCTGCAATGAAATACGCAGCCACCCTGGAAGAAGGAGATTTAGTAGTCACTTTATTCGAAGAAAGAAATGTCAGAAAGATTTCAAGTTTGTTTAAAAAGCTCTAAAGGTTTGAAATTGTTGTCGATTTAGCCACACCCAATGAGTTAACATTATCAATTAATCGATCACTAGAAGAAACGAAAACGAAGTGAATAAAAATTGCCACTCACGTATCTTTTCGATAAGTATTTGAAAATAAACGCTCAAATATCATGATTCTTCCTCTCTGCCTTTTTTGTGATGTTCAGTCCTTAGGATGATGTTGCTTTCCAAATATTCTGACACACAACATGAACTCAACAAACTTGTGAAAAAACTGTTTTTTTTTGTGAAAAATACGTATCACCTTTTACAGAATTACAGAATTAAAAATTTTCTAGACTACGCCCTAAAGTGCATGAACATTGTTGTTGTCTTCCCTACATCTTTAGCATTTGAAACAGTTGAAGAACTTCAGCTCATTCCTGGCGCTCTTGCTAGCAGTTCAAGAGGTTCCGGAAATTCTGCTATTCAAGAAATCGAAATCGGTAAGTGATGACCGTATCGAGAAACGTGATTTCTCACGTCAGGTTTTTCAGGTTGGTAAAGTGTTGGTTTTAACTAACTTTTCATCCAGACCAAAAAGCCAATATCTATATAACTGCTGCGTACCGCTTGATTAGGTGTCACATGGGAGCTCGAAATTACGAAACACTATTAGTCCGTTATTATAATAGTAACTACCATTATTACACCAATTGAATCTTTTTTTGTTTCCGAGGGTACAAATCTAGTTTATCTGGCATGATTATTCTTCTTCTCCTCACTGAACTATTCCTTCCTTCTACAATATAACTTGTATCAATATATCCGAACGAAAAATGGTAGACTATTGTGGAATGTTGGAAGCTTGCCTGGGCCGCACTGTCTCGTAACAACCCATTTATCTGATCCGATAAACGTACTTCGTTGATTTTTGTGAAGGCCCCAAACTCATCCACACTGTTGTCATGAACATTTTCCAGTCAGAATAAGCCCACTTATTCGGGAATTACAGATGATATAAATATTTCTCTTTGTTCTGAAAAAATCTTTCGCGGGAGAAACTGCTACTTACAGTTATTCCTAGGAAAAGTACTTATTAACCCTTTTGAGTGAATACAACTGGTAAAACAGAAACGGCCAACTTGGTACGTACGGTCATGAGCAAAGCCATTTAGTAGTGTTGCTTTCTTTCACTCGTTGTTCTCAGCTCAGTGTAGGAACCAGTGTACCTGAGTAGACTAAAGTCGTTTGTCAGATGACAGAAATCAAGATTTGCAAGATTCGCCTTACCCACAAGTGACCGTGCGTTCCACCGTACTTTATATAGACCATAATTTAACTGAACATACATTATTTTGCCACCTCGTAATTCCTACAAATCCATTGGTTGATCACCAAATGCAAGGTTAACATACTACTCTTATTGGTCACTGAGATTATAATTCACAACGTTTGCAAACTTGTTGTGTTCTTACATGCTACAGTTGATGCGTTCACCTTGCGCACACTTTACCTTGCCCAAAAGGAATAGTGAAGGATATCTGGGTTTTTCAAATCCAACTTCGTCCACTTCCGATAGGTTATACATTGCAAATCAGTCCGACAACACCCCGAACCCGTTCCGGGTTTCACTTTCCACAAAGAGGCTCATGGATTAAGTACAGCACATATTTTAACCCAGGCTGTGACCAAAATCAACTTCTAGAATAGAATACTCCAAAACAGAGAAATATCTATAGTTGTATTTGTATAGACTTGCGTGAACAGATGTCCACATTCCAGTCAAAAGTTACACATCTGATCAAAGCAGGAAAAAGTATGAGTAAAACATCTAACCTTCAAGTTTATTGAGAAATTCAGAAGAAACGCCCTAAGGGTTTAACAGAATTCTGGTTAGATAAGGAACTGGGGAATTTCGGTAGAGGTCAAAGCGAGCGGATAATAATCGATAAGTAGAAAGCGTAAATGAATGAGAACAATATTTAAATAGATCACCATGTAAAGAATGAATGGAGCCAGAGAGGATTTTCTGTGCCAATGTTTGATATACGGACAAGTGAGGTTCACACGCGTAGTTTTAGATTGCTCATCGACGGGTATAAAAGACACACGACCGATGCTTCAAAAGCACTGATGATGTCACCTCGGCTGGTGATGAAACGTTTGCAAACAAATTGCCAAGCTCGGCGAACAGGCGAAATGGAACATATATGCTGTGCTGAAGAAAACTGTTGTCGGCACCCTGTAGCACTCATGAATGGTTCATCAGCGGTTTAGATGTTATTCTAGCGAGCCGACTATGCTGCGTTCTGTTTGTGAAGCAGTCAACGAGCCACGCCAGTAGGTGCTTTGGACAGTCAAATGATTCCATTTTACGAGGGAGGAGGGAACGTGGAACAGAAATAAAAATCTGAGAAAACATCTTACAGATTTCGCTGATGCGCCTACGGATTTAGTAACGTAATGAATGAGAGAGACGACAGCATCCAAACTGGACCTGTTTGATTTGTAAACACGCTGTTGAGGGTCTTCGGGGGTAAAAAAAATAGTACCAGACAAGCGTTTGAGAACGTTTTGCCAATTGAAGACCGCATGACGCTGGAGTAATGGGACGGAAATGTTTGGACAAAGTACTGAGTCCGCACAGTTTTGGAATAGGAATGATCGTGACGGGTCTCCAGCAGTCAGGAATAGAATACGTGCAAAATGATGTGTTAGGATAAAAGTAAAACCATCCGTTAGAGCAAGAGTGCCATGGTTTAGAATAAATGAGGATAGACCGTCGGGACTAATGCCGGAGGGTGAGTTAATTGTACGAAGAAGTTTGATTATTTCTTCTCTGGAGAACAGGGAATCAATGAGACAATAGGAACGCCGCTCGGATGTACAAGTGCACGGTTTATACTCTCAGCGTCAACAGCACATTCACTTAGTTTGGATTTCGCTCCGCATAGGATCCGAATTTCTTACCCATAGATGTTTCTTGTTTTGGCTGTATTGGAGTTGATTTTCACAGGATGAGTCGATAAGTTTAATTTAATTTTTATCAATGTAGAATGTCAGGATGTTAGAGATGTGCAAATATTCTGTCACGGAGAGTTAAAATGAATGAAACGATTAGGGGAATCACAGCAGACGATGCATACAACTCCCGGTTAGTATCGATGGATCTGTTTTGTTGTGCAAAATTTGGACAGAAGTAAACAGGTCACCCCCAAATGCATCCGATTCCATCCAACCCCCCTTGTAAACAGGACGAGGTCTATTTGAGCAAAATCCAAATCTTTGACTGATGAAGTCGTGTTGCAAGGTCTATCTTAATCAACATTTAAAGCAATACTCGTTCTCTATAGAACCAAATAATACAAATTAGTGCATCAGCTTAAGTTCATGGTTTAAGTCTCTCCAAAATCGATCAGAACATTTTAAGCATTACACACGTATAGTGAACATTCAGTGACTGTACGATATTTTGTATCGGTAAACGCATTAGGGGAACTAATATGAGAAGCCTTATTGTTTAGGGCAAATTTTATTTCCTGATAAAGCGGTTTGCAAAGCGGTTGTGTCTTCTGCTGAGTACTGGTTAGGGTTCAGAAGGCTATTTTGAAATACCTGGAAAGACGGGACCTTCAGAGTAAGATATGCTACAAATAACGTCGGCTGCATTATCATTAGAAAAATCAAGAATTAGGTCAAAAAGAGAGGAATACAGAATTAATGACATGTAGAGCAGCACCAAGGATGAATGTGAGGGAGGAAGAAACCTGGGTGCAATAAGGCGGTAATGTGAAAGTGAATCGAGTGGAAGAGCAGCCATAAAAAATGAAATCTCATAAGTAACAGGAATACAACGAAGTTCGGCTTCATGTACACCAACAAACATATCACGGTAGCCAAGTGAACATGTTCTGACGTATGTAAACTTCGTGTCAAGGATGATTAATAATGATATTTAATATATATATATATATATGTATATATATGATGTGATGAACTAAACTGATTTCTTGTTGAATCGATTCGCATAAAAGCATCTAAGGCAGAAGGTGTCTACTTCAATAAAGAAGAAAGTTAGGAGCAAGTTTTCTCAGGGAGCAAGCATCATTAACCGTCATCCATCAATTGGATTCCGTTCTACGTGCTAAGCACTAATTTATTAGATTCAACAAGATTGTTCGTAAATCACGACCATCACCTCGTTTGTCAAATTTATTAAATTTAAGTGCTTCAAAAAATCTGTATTTTTATTGATCGGAGCGACAGGGCTTGAAGATAGTTTTTTCGCCAACTACTCAAAACGTTCAGTCCCGATTCTATTGTTTGAGCCATTTTTAAGCTGTTCAATGTCAGCTAGAAACAACTGACTACGATCGAAGCTCCCTTGAGATGCTTAAGTTTTCTCTCAGGTTTTCAGTTCATTTTTGACCAAATGTACTAGACGTATGGAAAATCCAATGCACAAAGCTTACATGTGATGGATTTTCTTAGCATTTATGCCTCTTCTTTGAAATTCTTTCTCTCCAACGACTTGCTGGTTCCAGCTGGAGGAAGACAGTCTCGGTGCCTAGATAGCACATTGCGCGAACTACAAGTAACGCAGCTGAAGTCTGGAAATCCCGGTACGGTGGGGGTATTTGGTTGTAAATGTGCTTGATTGCATGGAAGTAAATCAGCTATATAAATATGAAATTTTCCGGGAAAATTTCTTGCCCACAGAGCTAACAGTTGCAGCCGTACTTACAGTTTCTGTGATAAGATCTAATACAAATTACTGGGAACATTTAATTAGGGCATGACAAAAAAACTCTAAAGAGCGACTGTAAAAGGTGGAAAAAGGCTAATTTCGTCAACAAGCAAAACATCACAAAGGGGATTTAGTCTTAGTAGAAATTTCCCGTTTATCCAATCAAAGCGGCGGCGGGGAGGGGCGGGTAACAAAATTACATGGAAAAATTTTCAATTGCCACAGACCGAAAATGTTTGGGAAAAAATCAATTTCATTAATTCTGATAACTGAAAGCGAATCGGAAAAGCAAACGAAGTCATCTGCAATGCAGATTGAAGAAATGTAAATACTCCCTAGAACGCATCTTAGGTTTTTCTCAGTTCATTCATCAAGGTTTCTTCGCAATTTACTATACTATTGCATGTTTTTCCATCCTGGCTGCCTAACCATTATTTGTGTGTGCATATTCACTCAAAATGGTTGTTCCCCTTGGTTATCACGACGGACAGACATTAGAGCACGACGTAAGGGTTGCATCATTGCAGCGTCATTGGAGGTATATCCTCCAAACATATCAGCTTTGGAGCCGATGGTTTTGAAGGCTAAGTGCTGATCAACTCGATTACAAAGACTTGCAAATCGGTGATGTTCACGACGATGCTCAAACTGCTCTTCTCATTGATTACTTACCAGGGCTAGTGTGAGGTATTGAACCGGATAGCCGCTATTTGCAAACTCTTCACCAATCCCATTTGCTTTAGTTTTCTGTATAGCGCATAGTTGAAACAAACGTTTAGTCTGCTTTACGTTGGAGACCGTATCAAATTCATGAACACAGTCACGTTTTATGATGAGGAGGAATTTGCAATCTACATATGGTAGCCACGAAAAGGGCACAAATTTATGAGATTCGATGAGTATCCCGTCCCAACTAGTCAGATAAAATTTCAAAACTGTGAATGAAACTGAAAATATAGGGGAAATAATTTCGGTTTAAAGATTCTGAAATCAAGATTGATGCTCAATTTTTCACTCTAACGTCATAAGATTTTTTCTATGATATCTGGAGACTTGTAAATGCGTAGGCGAGTGTGAGGCCAAGTCCCGATTAATCAGGAGAATC